GTACGGACGGAAATTTGCGTTTCAAAATTGACTGGGCTAGCTTATAGTTAGAACGAAATTTATCATTTTTGCTTTGTTTTACTTTGTATTCGAGCGCAAATTCCAAGTACAAGCCTCTCGGGGGGCTTATATTCGGAGGGGCGATTTAACGGAGGGTTTTTTACGTCGCGATTTTGGGGGCTTATATCTGGAGGGGCTTATTTTCGGAATTTTACGGTATTTTTAAAATTAAAAAATGAAGAAAAGCTAGCTCTCTATCATGCCATCGCGCGATTTTAATTGTGTTAAAGAAGCGACTTTGATCAATTCATAAGCTAGGTTTAAGGTTCATTTCAACGTAGGTATTTCGAGAACGGACCTTTGAAGCCAGGGTACACATTTTGTAAAGCACAACTGTGAACGGTTTACTAGATCCCGGTGACTATATATGTTCAGGATCTTGTTTGGAACTTGTCCAGACGATAGAGGCCTTGTTAGCCGTGGTAGCTTTGCCTTATTTAGAATACCAGAAACAATACTCTGAATACTGTTGACATAAGCATACCAACAAACCAGCAGATAGATCTTGTGTGCTGCATGTCTTTCTTCAGCCCCAATTTAATCAAAGTCCCAAAAGTCTCTCCTTCAAAAGTATGTAACCTGAAACTGTGATACTTTGCAGAAATACAGTGCATTTGAAATTGAAGAACTAGTCAGATTTGAATTCTCAAATTTCGTTTTTGTGACGTCACAACTGATGACGCCACAAATCCTCGCTTCAAGATGTTCTATTTTAATAACCTGAAACCTGAAACCTGTAACCTGAAACTGTAATACTTTGTAGAAGTACAGTGCATACAAAAGTGAAGAACTTGTCTTATTTGAATTCTCAAATTTCATTTTTGTACATCTGATGGCGTCACAAATGCGAGCTTTGTGTGTATGGAACAGGCTTCGTCCAGAAACAGTAAATGTTAGCTCTGTTAAGCTACACTGTATTTATATCACATATGCAGACTACCGTGCACTCACCATATCAGCTAAAGAGGATATAACCGATCAGCAATTTTTCTTCCCCCCCTTAATAGCTCTTCTGTAGTATTAGCTAGGACTATTTTAGGAACCGGAGATATTCGGCACGAAGGGCGGAAAAACAAATTTTTTGACACCGACCCTTCCCCTAATCTCAGGGTCTGGATGACTGCCCCCCCCCCCCCCCCCCCCCCCCCCCCCCCC